TAGTCCGTGCTCTGTTCACAGTGCCCAGACAGAGGTGTGTGTTTGTGTTCAACTGTGTGTTCATCTGTTCTCCACTAGATGGAGCTGCTAATCTTCTTTCAGTTGTGTTGATGTGTGTGTGTGTATTTGTGCTTCAGGTTGGATCTGCTGCCGTTTTACGCCCGTCTGGTGGCCACTCTTCACCCGTGTATGTCTGACGTGGCTGAAGACCTCTGCTCCATGCTCAAAGGAGACTTCAGATTTCATGTGAGTGCTGTAGTGCATTGTGGGATTGGCTTCTCCACTACTAGTGCTTCCTTTTGAAGTTTGATATTTTATTACATTAATATCTGCATTCTGGAACATAAATAGAGCATCAAAGTACAGCTGGAAAAATCTGAAAATGCAATATTTAAATTTTCTGCCATATATATATATATATTATAAGGTGAAAACTATTTCACCAGATGGCTTGAATAGCTCCATTTAGAAATAATTAATTTAGATTGATAGGGATAATCAATAATGGGATTGAATTATCCATAAAAGTAATAAACAAATTAAAGCAATAGAGAAACACAACAGAGGTATGATAAAAATGATATAAACAGTAGGGCTGTACAATATATCACAAAATTATTAGGATAATAGTATATGATATCTCCATATCGCTGAGAAGTGTACAAAATTGACTGCATTTTAAGTGCTAAGAGTTTGTGTGCTGCATGCATATATTGTTTATCCAGATCTGAAGCCTTACTATCTTCATCTCCACCTGTGGTGAAACGAGCTGAAATTAATACTAATGCTGGGAGACGAAAGGGAGGACAATAATAGGAATCAGATTATCTGCTGGTGTTTTCAGTTATTCGTGGTGTTTTAAAGTCTAAATGTGTTTGTTTTTTTTATTTAATTTAGCTGAGAATAATAGATATTACCTGTTTATTTTAGTATGATCATTGCATATCATACTAAAAGAAGAAATATTGTTATTGCAACACTTAACAACAGTGTTGTATATATTCTCAGTATCATGCAGCCCTTATGAACACTGCTTTATGGTTTTTCGGGGAGTCTAACAGTATTCAGGGACAGAAATGATATAATCGAATGTTAAAGTATAGTCTTCATTAAGACTGTACAGTAAATTCATCTTTATTAAAGTTTCAAACGGATAATTTGTTGTGCCTGAATCCTCTCTTGAAATGCTCAGACAGTCACAGGCCTTAAAAACACATGCAGATGATAAACGTTCACACTGTTATGGTTAAACTCCACAAACCTGATGTGTTCTGAACTGTGGCTATTAAATATGACAGCTATAATTCCAATAAACATTGTGCACCATGCATTGTTACTATTGAAGATATGTATAAGAGTGGATTAAACCCTATTGTCATTTCACATTTACAAGTACAAGGCAGCAAAATGCAGTTCAGGTGTAACCATGAGTGCAATGCTGACAGGTAACATTTACAGATGGATGTACTGTAAACAAATATACAGGTTGTATTAACCATACTCAGATATTTATCAATAGATATCTACAGGTTGCTCTTGATAATCAGGAATATGCAAATAGATATAAACATTATATACAGGTTATTTATTGCGATCAGGAATTACAAATCGATTTGTGTGTCATACGTTTACACATGCATATGTGCAGTGCATGTGTTCATTTACAAATGGACATTACATCAAAAATACATCAGTGAGCGTTTGTGTGTGTTTTATAGATCAGAAAGAAGGACCAAATCAACATTGAGACCAAGAATAAGACGGTGAGGTTCATCGGAGAGTTGGCCAAGTTTAAGATGTTCTCCAAAACAGACACGCTGCACTGCCTGAAGGTGAGCAGAGCGTCTGATCATGGCATCCACTGAGGACTCACATTTATTGAAAGGGGAGGAAAAAAACTATTTGTGACTTGTGTCAGAGTATTTTGAGGATAAAATATATATTAATTTTATTAAGTATATATATATATATATACAGGGCTTTACATTAACACCCGCCAAATGCGGGTAGATTTCAGCTCTGGCGGGTTAGACAGACACCTCCTCTAGCCACTTTGGTTGAAAATCATTTTTAAATTGTAGTTTTCTTAAAAGCAGGGTTTGACAATAAGCATGGCCCAATATTCATGCAAATGTGATCTTAGAATCGAGAAGCAGCACGACTGACAAAAATAACTGTGTTTGCGCGAGCAAAACAGCAAAAAAGAAGGTAAATAACAAACGAGAGGATGATCACTCGCGCGCATCACATCACCTGCTGCTTAGTTATTTTTGGTTATATGGTTTAATTTTATTTTTTACAATAGCATTGCTTTAATGGGAGATTACTCCCCGTTTATGTGTAGTTAACTGCTGATCTGGGACTTTTGGCCTGGACCGATTACTGAGCATATTTTAGATACATGATAATAAATATTTTTTTTGTAATTTAATGTTTTTTTTAAAGAAAAGGTTTGTTAGATTTAAAAGTGCACCTATACAGCTATATTTCCCTTGTTTTGACACATTAAAACATTGTGGCTAAGAAATACTTATTTGGTGTGGTCAGAGATACATTTGGTAAATCCTTAATTTTGAGCTGTAAAAAGTCATGTGAAATAAAAACTGATTGCATTGTGACACAACTCATTTGCTCATGCACACTGAGCAAGCTAATACACAACACACACAAGAAGTTAAATGAATGGGGAGGCATGTTGGACATAACACATCTAAATCAAGTCATTTTAGCATGTCTAAGTCAAATTTATGCATATAAAATATATTTTCCCAGCAACAAAAGTGTGGCTAGTGAAAATGGCGAGTGGCTAGTAATGTTGGAAATCTACTAGCCACACTGGCTGGTGATCAAAAAAAGTTTATGTCAAGTCGTGTGTGTGTGTGTGTGTGTGTGTGTGTGTGTGTGTGTGTGTCTTATTTTGAAGAATGCTGGTTCTCATTGACTTCTAGGGAAAATGATTTTCAGAATTGCAAAAATGTAATTACACTTTATTTGAAAATAATACTAAAAGTCTGCATGAATACGAGCAAATAAAAACAGAAATAAATAAAAAAATTGACCATATTTTGTAAAATACTCTTACGGTATATTTAGGTAAAAATGTGTCTAATATACTATATATAGGTAAAAGTTTTTAAACGCTCTATAGGTATATATTAAAAAAAAAAAGAAAGAAATGCGCTATAGGTAAAATAGTACTGGATTTAATTTTAAAGCATTGAATCCTGAATATTTGTGAGTTTTTTCCAGCATCTCTCTCATCTCTTT